CGCAGCTTTCAGAACACAGAAACACTAGACTGAGTTGTTCCTCGGGGAGCTTCAATGGCTCCCTGCTGCCCAGGGTCAGGTGCACACGCACCCCAGGCCTGTCAGGATCCACACTCTGTTCCTACACTTTCCCGCTTACCCCCGTCGCGCCCGCTCCCGCTCCGGCAGGCCAACAGCCTGTCATCCCCGCCACCAGGGGCCTCTGCCGGGAGGCTCCCCAGATCTGGCTGCGCCCTCTGCTGGTCCTCCCAGGGCCACCCCAGCTTGGCGCGTGGTCCACCGCCTCCCACGCACTACGTGTCTCCACCATCACAGCGCTTCCCACGCCACCTTCCCGTTGCCCGTGACTGGCGTGTCCTCGCACTAGTGACCCCAGTGAGGGCAGGCAGAGCAGGGCAGCACGTGCGGTTTCCCCCGACTCCCCAGCGCCGGCGCTGGGCTTGGCCTAAGCGCCCCTCAGCAAATCTTACTACACGAATCAGTGGGTGGGTGGATGGCTGGCTAGCTGGCTGGCTGGCTCATGAACAAATGAATAAATGAACAAATGAATAAAAAACTTCTTGATACAAAAAAGAACGGTCTCTGAACGAGAAGAGTCCCAGTGGTGACTGTGATCCTGGGGGACCCCTGGAGTGGACAAAAGGCTCCAAAACCCCTGAGGTGCAGAGCCGAAGATCAACCAACCCTGGGGCCTCAGGAAGCTTGTCTGCCACAGTGTTCCTCTCTGGCTCTCCTCAGAGTTGCCCAGTCTCATCCAACTGTCCCAACCCGCTTCCAAACAGTCACCTCTGTGGAGCTAAAGGACACCTCCAGTGTCCTGACTTTGGAGACAGCGCTCCAGGTATGGGCCATGGCACGTGCAGCCCACAGTGACCCAGCAGGCAGGGGCTGGATCCAGGACCCCCTCCTCCCGGACGGACGTGGGAGAGCTCTGAAAGGCCTGGACTTCTAATCCCGTCACGAAGGCTGCTGGACGGGTACTCGTTACGTGAGTTACGAAAAGGGCTGCTAAAATCACACAGCCTCGCTATCATTTCACCGCTTTCCCATTCTCTCTCACCACTGAGCTCTTCTCCGGTGGGGACGTGGGAACAGCTCAGGGCTTTGTGCCTGCCTCAGTGAGGGGCAGTAAAAGTGTTTCCGAATGGGTACCCTGCAAAGCCAGCGGCTGAGTCGCCTGGGGCTGGAGCCTCCCCTCAGCCCCGGGGAAGGGTGTTCCTCCCACCACTAAGCATTTGACTGTGAGACAGGCCAACTTTCCAGGACTGTGTGGGATTTTTTTGTTATTATATGTTACTTATATGCAAACACACATACAATATACATAAACATACACACACTCACATATGGTTGCACAGGCTGTAAATATTTTTTGGAATGTATTGCAAGAAATAACAGTGATTGCCTTTGAAAGAGGATTCACAGGAGGGATATTTAGACAGTATATCCTCTTATACCTTTTGAAGCTTCCTGTGCTCATACATAATCTATTTATAACCTAATAAAAAATTTAAAATTAATCTTAGTGAGGTGATTAATCAGGCTGAATATTGCTATCTCTGCTTAAAACCTATCTCTAACTATGGATCAAATGCTATTGAGATTAAAAAATTTATCATCTGGCCTTCTTGCCCTCTAGGACATAATTTTTTTTTTTTTTTTACAGAACATTGTAATTTTTGAAGGAAATAAATCAGTAATATATTTTGCCTCTACAGACACTTTTAGAATTATGGCATTAATATTTCAAATAACACACAAAAATATCTCAAATAAAAACAGAGCATCTCATTTGACTCTCTCTCATGTGCCCCTCTATACTTATCAGTGATCGGTGAGTCACAAACTATTCCTCTGCCAAAAAGAAAAAAGAAAGAAAAAAACAATTGAGTTGAGAATTCCAGGAAGACAGCAGAGCAGGAAATCCCAGGAGCCTGCCTTCCCTCCTAGACAACGACTATGTGAGCAGAATCTGCCTAACTTCAGAATTCTGGAGTTCACTGAAGGCCCACAGCTCCCAGGGGAAGGTTTGGACAGTAAATTGCGATTATCTGCAGTTGATCTCAGCTCTCAGCACAGTGGCAGCTACCCACCCTCTGCTCAAGCCCTCGGCAGGAGGCTGTGCCCGTGCTCCCGGAGCAGGGTGCACGCAGCTTATGGGAGCCAGGGTAGGCAATAAGGACCCGTCCTCCCAGTATTGAAGATCTGGTTCTGATTGCTGATCACTATTTCTGATCACAGAGGTGCCATTGTTTTTTTCACACAGCCCACTCCCATTGATATAAACCCCTGCCCCTTGGGCTGAAGTGACTTCCAGGGGATTTAAAGGCTCAGGCCCCTATCCCTGCATTTTTCTCTCTTTTCCATTTGAAAGGCAAGCATATAGGACTAGGACATTTAAAAGCAACTGCATAGTTGGGAAAAATTAGGAAGTGACTGAACATGCCCAAGGAAAGGTGAAGTCTCAGGAAAGATCTGAAAGGACCTTAAGTTCACACCTGATCCTTGGCACAAAGACAGTCTGAAACAATCAGAAAAAAAAAACAATAAACAGAAGCAATAATAAGAAGCACATTACCCTTGGAAAAGAAAAGAATCTGATCTCCAATGTAACCACATTTTTAGATTCAAATGTCTAGTTTTTAACAACAACAAAATCATAAGGCATATAAAGAAACAGGAAAGTATGGTCCATTCAGAAATAAATTAACAGAAACTGTTTCCCAAAAAGATCTGAGAGCAGAACTATTTGACAAAGACTTTAAAAATAATTATCATAGGTGCTTGAAGAACTAATGGGAGATGTGGAAAAAGTCAGGAAAATGATATGTGAACAATGTGGAAATATCAGTGAAGACAGAAAGCTCATAAAGAAACCAAACAGAAACTATGGAACTGGAAAGTACAATAACTGAAATGAAAAATTCATTAGAAGGATTCAAAGGCATTTTTTAACAGGCAGAAGAAAGAATTAGCAAACTTGGAGATAAGACAATGATAATTATTCAGGCCAAAAATTACTGAAATAAAAAAGATTGAAGAAAAGAAAACAGAGCCTAAGGGATCTGTGGGAAACTCTCAAGCTGATCAACATATGCATTGGGGAGTCCCAAAAGGAGAAGAGAAAAAGGGGCAGAGAAAATATTTGAAGTAATAATATCTGAACACTTTCCAATTTTAAGGGAAGACATGAATATAAACATTAAAGGAGCTCGACAAATTCAAAGTATGATGAACTCAAGGGACCTCACATCAAGACACATAATAAACTTTCCAAAGATGAAGACAAAGACATAATCTTGAAAGCAACAAAAGAGAAGCAACTCATAGCACAAAGGATCCTCAGTACGATAACTTTAGAGGCCAGAGACAATGGGAAAAAACATTCAAAGTGTTAAAAGAAAAGAAAAGTCAATTAGGAATCCTATATCCAGCAAAACTATCCCTCAAGAGTGAGGGAGAAGTTAAAACATTCCCAGATAAACAAAAGCTGAGAGATTTCATCCCTGGACCTACTGCAAGAAATGCTCAAGGGAGTCCTTAAGGGTGAAATGAAATGACATTGGACAGTAACTTGAAGCTGCATGAAGAAATAAAGACCTCAGTAAAGGCAAATTCATAGTGAGAATGATGTCAGCATCATAGCAGCATGAGACATTCCTTGTTTTGTCTCCACCTCAACAACAAAAACTTGGCATCCATCCAGGAACAAAAGTACCTCTGTGGGAGTTGTGGGTCTAGCACCATATGCCAGGGGACCCAAGAGGAGTGCCTCCCATCTGAGTACCAGGCAGACAGACCTCAGTACTGGCAGTGGACCTGACTTTAGCCCCTCTTGGCCATGGTCCACAAGCACCTGGAGAACACTGACTTGGGCAGTCACCCACAGGTGAGAGAGCCTTTGGGGAAGTCCAGGTTTCCAGAGGAGAAGTTCCAGCACTCCAGTGGAGCAATATGTGTTCACACACACACACACACACGCACACACGCATACACGCACGCACACAAGTTTGGATGCATTGGAGTGGGCGGTTAGTAAATATTGGAGGGCTTGGGACAAGGCAGCCACATGAGAAAGGGCCCAGAGATCGGTAGTAACATTAAAACTAATAAAATTGCCAATACCGATACCAACGACAAATAGGTAACTCTTTCTAAATGTTCTCTGTGTGTGGTGCATTAAAGTAAGCACTTTTTATATGTATAATTTAATTTAACCCACAACTATTCCTGTTGTTCATGGTTATCCTTGGACAAACCGAGCCCCAGAGAGGTGAAGCAACTTGTTTGGATTCCTCCAGCTCACAAGGGGCCAGGCCTGGCTTTGAACTCAAGGCTACTGATTCTGAGAGGCATGTCAAGAAAATCAGGGGCCTATTCAAGGGAGAACAAACAAGGGCTTCTCTGGGCGGTGCTAAGGGCATCATGGGAGGCAAGATAGACAGGGATGGATTCATTTATGACCTTGGACACCAGGCGTGGAAATCTGGTCTTTACTCTGGGACAGTTTAGAGGCATCAAGGAGCCTGGGTTCAGGACTAGACCCTGGGGTGCAGGGAGGAGAAAAGAGGTGGAGGCAGACGTGGCCTGGTTGGAGGCCGCCTCAATGGCTGAGACCAGAGGTGTTGGGCTCTGGATCTGTGGGCGGGAGAGGAGACGACAGATCCGGGAGCTGGAGCCTGTGAGAGGTGATGGCTGAGGTGGTTCTGGGGCTCCCCACATGGAGGAGGGGGAGGTGAGGCACAAGCAGTGAGTGAGGAAGGACCTCCCAGCCAGTGCGTCCAGGTCTGGGCTCTGCCACGCCGCAGCGGCCGGACCCCGGTGGGTACGCGTCCTCTCTCAAGTTCCATTGTGGGGGGAGGGGCGCGCCCACCCCTGTCCCCACCCGGGCGCAAGGACCAGATGAGACAAGTTTCTCTCTTAGTGCTTGGTAAACGGTAACCGCCAGCACCTCTGTTTCCCTCTCTATGATCTCGCATCCCCCCAAATGTCTGACCCACCTTCCAGGGACTGACACCGACCCCGCACGACTGCCGTGGGGCTTACTTTAAGGCCGTCCTGCTGGTAACTCTGGGAGATACAGTCCAGGACACCTTTGTATTTGTTTAAATAAACCCCGTCAGCTTGGAGTCGACTTTTCACAACATCCATAGGAGTCGCTGTCCCCCAAGAAATTGCCCCTGTAAAGAGAGACAAACAGGTGTCAGGGGCTGGCTGGGGGGCGCCTGGAGGGGACCCCGCAGATTTCCACCCTCAGAGGCTTCATAAGCTGCCGAGGGAAGTGAAAACGCTCAGGGTTGGGGTCTGTAAAGGCTGCTCCCGAGCCTCCCTTGCCCCCTGCTGTGGGGCCCCCTGTAGGCCTTGGGTCTGTCATCTGTAAAATAGGGCTGCAGTCCCCGTCTTCATGGGGGCGCCGTGAGGATAAATACATGGGTGCACGTGCAGCATCTAGCACAGTGCCAGGCGCACAGCCAGGGCTTTGAAAGTGGGAGCCTTTGTTAGCCGCCCCTGCGGAGAAGTGGGGGCGGGCCCCCCAGCACTCCAGCGCCTTTCCAGGGGCAGGGGAGAGCCCAGGGGAGGCCGGAGGCTGAAGGCTTGCAGCTCCCAGAGGCAGGATTTACCCTGAAGAAGCTAAACAAACACTTGCATGTAGGCTGCTGGCCAGGGACGGGCCAGCCTGGGGATTGCAAAGAAGAGCAAGAGCAGACCTTTAGAAATCTCTTATCTTTTCCAGATATATGGAGCAGAAGCCTTAGGACCACATGCCCCTGGGTCATCCTCGTTGGATAAGGTCAGGTGCCCTGGTTTGAGCACTTATGTGACTTTAAGAGACCCTAGGAAAACAATTGCGGGTTATTGTGTAAACACAAAAATTGGCACACCCACAGGTGTGGAGAGGAAAACAAACCGTTGCCAAAGTTCAAGGCAGCTGGTTCACAAGGTTTTGTAATTGCTGCCTGGAGGCTTCCCGGAGAGGCCTCTGCCCGCCCCAAGCCCTCTGCCCACCCCGGCACCCAGCCCCTGGGGCCCCCGGCCCATGGCCCTCAGGGAGCCCCCTGGACCTCTTCCTCCTTCCGCCTCCTGCCAGGATGACAGGCACGCTCCCCTGCCCCTCAGCCCGCAGGGAGGGTATGACAAATGGAGGTTGGCCGGCCAGGCCACCCACACCTGCTCTCACCAGGAATGAGCAAGGGTGGGGGTGGGGGGTGGGGGGTGGGGGATGGGGGCAGGGGACGGGGTAGTTGTTTCTCCTCTCAGGCAGCAAGTGCTTACTGAGCACGCACTAGGAGCCAGTAGGGGCCAGGCCACAGACTGGTGGGGGCGAGAGAACACTGGTGTTTGGTGGCTAAGACGTGGGCTTTATTCTGTGTTGGCTGAGTTTCAAGCATAGCTACTTATGACGACGAGGAGGAGGCGGGGGAAAGACAATGGTTTTCTCTCAGCATCGAACACGCCATACTATCAGCCTTCTTAAAAAGCAATCCTCTCTTGACTTCCACGCCCCGCCGGCCATCGCTGCCCTTCTCTCGGCCCCTTGCAGCCCGGCCAGCTCCCCCGGAAGCGCGGTGGGACTTGGGTTCTCCAATTTCCTTTACCCTACTCCCTCTCAATCCCACTTCGGCCAGGTTATCACACCCTTCTCTATCAGAACAGGTCTTGCCAAAGTCCCTGATGACATACACACACCACGGCAGGGAGAGAGCCGCATGGGCAGCCTGCAGCTGAGAGGGCGGTGGGGCCGGAGCTCAGCCGTCGGCGCAGGGCAGAAAGTGAGTGCAGGCGGGCGAGGGGCAGCCGGGTCGCAGAGGGCCTGAAACACCCCTGCAGGCGCCCTGCGTGGCGTGGGGACGCAGTGTGAGTTCTGAGTAGGGAGACTATGTAATTGGCCCATGGCCACAAAATGAGTAAGCGTGAATGTGAACCTGGATCTTTCTGAAGCAGAGTCCCTGCTGTACTGTCTGCACTGGCCATGTGACCTTGGGTTGGTCACTTAATCTCTCTGAACCCGAACTTCCCTTATCTGAAAGGTGGGGAGACTGATTTCTGTCTCCTGGAGGTAATGAAATGCTCGAACAACAAGGATTTACAGGGCGCCGACGTTCAGGAAAGGTGAAACGCAACGAGCAATCTCCTTTGCAAAGCTCAGAAGCACTTGACACAGAGTAAGTGCTCAAATGTATCTTTGGACTGAAAGGTGAAAGCTCGGACAGAGGTACTGGTTATCCCCAAAGGCCCAGCGGGGCGCCGAGGGGAGAAAGGGAGGACCGTTCCCCATTCCTAGCCCTTTCTCTGGCACATAGTAGGCACTTCTCATGGAATGGTGGGGTGAGTGGCTGGATGAGTCTTGCCCCGCTGCGGGGCTGAGCAGGGCATGGGCGGCTCCCCAGCCGCCCCACTGCGGCGACTAGCACAGAAACAGGGATCAGCGCTGCTGCCTTACCTGCGATGCCACCTGCCAGCCACACGGCACAGGGGCTGGGGTCAGCATCGGCCTCGGGTGTGATCCAGTGGCTCACGAACACGTAGGGGATAAAGTAGAGGCAATAGCCCGGGACGTCCCTCAGCAGCATGGCGCTGGCGCCCCGGTACAGCCCCGCCAGGCCCTCCGTCCGCACGACGGCGGCAATGCAATGCACAGGCCCCTGGTAGGCTGGCCGCTCCCCAAGAGCCACTGCCCTGGGCTTCAAACTGAGGTTAGCTGCAAAGACAGGGGGCAGAAGATGACGAGTGACCCAGGGGGCAAGAGACTGGCCACTCTCTGGCCCTGGAGCCAGCTCGGCCCATTGATAGTTCCCACTTACGTGGCCCATTGGTTTTTACCCAAACTCCTGACCTCCCTGGCAGCTCCAACCAGGGTTCTGGAGCCCCAGCAGGGAGCCCCTGCCAACGTGGACAGCCAGGCTGGCGACAGTCCCATCCAGGTGATAAAGCACCAGTCGCCTTAGAACGGCCAGGAGTCCCTGGCCAACCATCACTGTGTCTTCCTAAGCAGATATGACTGTAGAACTCCTAGGCTCAAATATGAAAAGCCATACCAAGCTCCTTCTTGGGGCAGAGACTCGAGAATCCAGCACACTGTGTGCGTGTGTGTGCATGTGTACGTGAGTGCATGTGCATGCGTGCGTGTGTGCTTGCGTGTATGTGTGTGTGTGTGTGTTCAGTGTGGTAAAAAAGTATAATACATGAGATTTGGACCCAATTCCAAATCCTGGCCCCACCACTTACAAATAGTTTGTCCTTTGTAGGTCACCTTTTCCAGCTTTTGTTTCCTTACGTGTGTAAAGAACACAGGCCAGTACTGTGTTGTATACTTGAAAGTTGCTAAGAGCGTAGATTTGAAAAGTTCTCACCATATACACCCCATAAGATGGTAACTGTGTGAGGTGATGGATGTGTTAACTAACTTGAACTTGACAATCATTTTGTAATATACACGTATATCATCACATTGTATACCTTAAACTTACATAATATTGTATGTCAATTATACTTCACTAAGGCTGAAAAAGGGTTTGTTCAAAAAATAAAAGAACAGGCTGTCATGAATACAAACAAGCAATACCTATAAAGTGCTCAGCATGGTTCTAGAAACATTGTAGCAGCGCAATAAATTATCCACAGATTATTTCTAAGACCCAGGTTGACCAACACAAATCAGGCGCAGGATGCTCTAGCTAACGGGCTGGACTTGGGCTCACGGACTTACTCCAGCCCCGGTGTCATTGGTCCCTTGAAGTCCAGGGACACAGGGCCGCTGTCCCCTCATCTGACCTGCTGGGTCTCTGTGGGCACATCACAGGGTGCTATGTCTGTAGCTTCTTCTAGGGGTGCGCGTAGCCAGCAAGCAGGGACCCTCTCTCAGATTTAACCCTTCCACCAGCTCCCCTGCTTCTCCATCATAGACACTCGCCGCTTCTGCTGTGGACCCTTTAGCACGGCTTTGACTCCTGGCCAGAGAGACCTCCCAGTGCCCGTACGGACAGAACAGACTCTTATTCTCAACTTCTTCCCTCCCTGAAGAACTAGCATGACATGCCCAGGAAAGAAATTTGCCTGTGACCACACGACCATTTTGCCACTGGGGTTTAATTCCCAGTACACACCACCTCAGTTTGGTTTTACAGATGCTGGCAAAAGGGCAGATCAGTTTGATTACAGAGTTAACTTTTAAGTCACCCAAGTAGTTCTACCTTTATCAGAGGAAAGGTTAGGACAAAATATTCAGCTTCATGATGTCACAGTCCAAACTGGGGATTTGGGAGTCAAGTGCAACCTTCCACGCATCCCAGAGTGGATGAGGTCAACGAGGCGGTTTCTCTTTTCCTAGAAAATGTGATTGAACAAACGAATCCTGTATTTTCCTTCTGTGGGCGGCAGGGGAAGAGTAATCACAGCCATGCTGTGTGGGCAGGAGGCTGAGTCCCCTTCACTCCTACAGCAGGTCCCACAGGAAGTGACCCATTTGGCAGGGGGTAGGGGTACAGGGCCCTCTGAACTCAGGGCAAGATCAGACACTGTGGTCTTTGAACACCTACTGAGATATTGCCCTGGCTGGTGTGGCTCAGTGGATCGAGCACTAGCCTGTGAATCAAAGGATCGCTGATTCGATTCCCAGTTGGGCACATGCCTGGGTTGTGGGCCAGGTCCCCAGTGCGGGGCGCTCGAGAAGCAACCACACATTGATGTTTCTCTCCCTTGCTTTCTCCCTCCCTTCCCCTCTCTAAAAATAAATAAATAAAATCTTTCAAAAAATAAAAAATAAAGAAACCCGCTGAGATCTTGCTGGGCACTGCCTCCTCTCCCAAATCTACTATGATACGGCCAGGGTCATCCGGTGGAATTTTGGCATGAGACAAAGTAGATGTAATTGTCCCAACATATAAACTTTTCCTGGGCCAGGCTCATGTCCAAGTGTAGTGATCTAGCCCGGGAGTCAGAGATTTCATGAGCCACCTATGGGAATGATGTGGCTTTCACAAGTTACTGATAGAAGGAGGGTCTCTGATAACATTCTGCTTGTTTGGAGGTACGGATACTGAAAAAAGTACTAGCCCAACCTCCAACTGATCCTGTTAACAACGAATTCGTTTCCTTTTCTTTCCAGAGTGAGCAACGAGGAAATGCTCTCGCGAGCGCCTGGGGCTGTGCTCGCCTCCAGGTAACACGACCTGGCCTGGAGTCAATGTTTGCACAGGTCAGCGGTGGGTAGCACGTGGGTTTCAGGAGGCAGAGACTGACAGGCAGTGTCAGATAAGGCCCCCCCTGTGGGAGGTCCCAACGCTGGAAAAAGAAAACTTGCCAAACCTTGAACCAGCCCTGTGAACAAGACCCTAACCTCTACTGCTTTTTTTCCGCAAGGCAAACAATAAGGAAACTCTTTTGCAAATAACAGATATATATATGATTTTATTTTCTGAACCATTTCAGGGAGAGTTGCATCCACAATGGCCCTTTACCCCTAAATACGTCAGAATATGTGTTCGCTAAGAATGGGGTATTGTCTTACATACCACAGTGCAGTTAATAGTTTACATAACCTACACTGACTATACTGTTACCTAAAGTACTGTCTATACGCCCATTGTCATTTGATCTCATAATGACTTTTATAGCATTCCTCCCCCTCCCCGGGACGCACCCAGCGGAGTCCGGTATTGAGTTTAGTTGTCCTGTCTCTTGAGCTTCCTTTAATCTGGAGCCTTTCCACGCCTTTCTTTGTTTCATTATGACTCTGACATTTTTAAGAGTGCACTGCCCCCTCCTTGTAAACAGGATTTTCCTCACTTGGGGTTTGTTCAATGTTTCCTTATTATGAAGAGCTTATACGCTCTTGGCACGACCTCCTCCCTGTCCTCACCTCTTTGCCCGTGAAGACTGATCACTCTTAGGAGGCTTCTCTGGCCTCCTATACTTGTGTTTTGCTTTGTTTTTTAATTAAGGTATAATTTACCTTCAATAAAAGGTATAGCTAATAAGTGCACAATGGGCGAGTTTTGACAACTGTCACCACATCCTGCTGAGAAAATGACATCTTATACTTGAAACAAACGGTTTTGGTCCCAGCCCACGCAGGCAGAGCAAAGATTCCAAACCTACCTACCTTCTCCTGCTTTTGAAGGTAAAAGAACTCTGTGACATCGATGTGTCACTCATGCGGCGCAAATCTTTCTTTTAGGCAATGGTGGTTACCATCTGCATTAGCAATAGTGGCGAGGACAACTCCTCTGAGACCACAAAGCAGAAAACAGCAGAAATTGCTCTCAGTTCCTCAGGCCACAGATTCCCCCACGGCTCAGCAGGGGAGGCTTGGTCCGGGGAGGCCTGGCCAGGGCCCGCAGCAGCTGGACTCAGAAAAGCACTGAATTAGGATTCTTGGTAGCTCTAGCAGCATGACAATTTTAGTTTTTGAAAAACAAATTTTGCTGATCCCTGACAACTGACTTGGGAAGTGGTTGGCATGCAGCTCTTGGAAATATGGACTGAAATCCATGGCCTTGCGTGTCGTTCGCCCAAGGGCCCAGAGCGGGGAGGCCAGGGGCTGGGTTAGCACCGGGAGTCCTCACTCAACGTCCTAGGTAGGTTCCTGCACACGGTGACTTGAAGCAAAATGACATACAAAGAACCACTTTTACCACAAGCTAATTGATACAAACACAAGTTAAGTTCTACGGCATATTTCTGGTCACAAAAACACCACCAAACTTCTAAATAAAGAACCAAAACACTTCTAATATCAAACAGTAAAATAAATGTGAGCTATGCATACATTTAAGAAACAGTAATCAGAAACAAGAACAAGGATTATTTTCCAACCCGCTCATTCCAGCTCAGGGCCACAGGTAGCCAGATCCTGCCAGGCAGCGCAGGGCGTGGCCGGACCCACCCTGGACAGGATGCCCTCGCGTGGCAGGGCCACCCACACGCACGCACTCAGACTGGAACGCTTTTGACACGCCAGTTCATCTCACACACACATCTTTGGGATGTGGAGGGAAATTTGAGCACCCAGAGAAAACTCACGCAGACATGGGAAGGACATGCACGCTCCACCCAGACAGGGGCCCCAGCCAGGAATTGATTTTTTAAATCACTGTTAGTAAGAAATGAATGACATTGAACAAAACAACGTCATTCGAGGCCCTGCTGTGCTCTGCTTGCGCTGAGCTGAACCGCCGGCTCTCAGCCTGTTGTTCCTGAGCCTTTAGGACTTGGGCTGGGGATTTGAGGGGTGCGTGGTACACATGCAAGTATACATGGCAGTTATTTTCCTTTAGGGTGAAATGTATTTAGTTTCTCTAATTAGAATTTTTTGTTACGTGAGGATGAGATTATGAACCAAATTTTGCTTGTTTCTTATCACAAGAGGTTTACTGTTGAGACTATTTTTTGCTGTGCTCTCTAAATCAAGAGCCTATTACCTATTACAATGATAGGTAGGGGTTATATGCCCCAAACACTCAGAAAGCTGTGTTTTTCTTAGTTTTCCCAAATTCAGTTAGGATCAACTCGAGCCCCAATACCAAGACTGGCAGAATGTCCAAAGTCAATGAAATTGGTCTCCATTCTGTTCCTAATTTTCCCCCTGGAGTGGAAGAGGGCCTACAAAATTCCAAAGGACCCCCTCCTCCGGAGGCTCGACCTTGTCCAGAGCAGGCCCGCTCCTTAGGCCACACGCTGCGGCTCCAGCTGTGCTGGTCT